TGCTTGCACAATCTCCTTAATAAATCTTCCTCTATAAGAATTGTGCATGGAAAGTGTCTGCAAAAAGCATGGAGTGGAAGGAAGCTAAGAAGTTTTCATCCTAAAGTTCTTTGTAGGGTTTTTTTTGTGTATTTGTTTCATATGAAGAAGGAACAATGCTCAATTAGAAAAGTGAAAAATAAGTACTCATAGGCAATGACTGAAGATCCGAAAATTACAAGTTCTAAATTTTAATTAATAGTAGAATTCTTTTTAGGCGTATTGTGAGTAATAAAAAGGACTTTTGGGTGAAAAATTTAAGAAGATGAATGCTTTTTCTTTTCTTAATTTAAGAAAAAAGATTAACAACTAATTATAGAGGAGATTATAAAAGAAGAATCAGAATAACCTACCACTCTATCAATTTCGCCAAGCGCATTTGAAGGATTAACAACAACAATGCTTTGAAGTGGAAGTTTAAATGAAAGTATACCACATTTTAGAATGTTAAAAAATTTTATAAGGTAACTAAAAAAAAGAATGCAATACTTTTTTTGTTGAGATTATGAAACCTTATGCAATCAAGAAGCTGGGAAAAAGTAAAAGATAAGTACGCGTCATGGATGAAGAAATTAAAGCAATCAAAAAAGATTATATGAGAGTTTTCCATGATGAAACTAGGCAAATTGAGTTAAATGATATTTAAAATAAAAAAGAAATGCCATAAAAGCAATATTGGTGAATAAAAGATATTGGAAAAAACAAAAAATTGATTATGAAAAGTTATTTGCAAGTATTGTTCATTGTATAACGATTAACCTAATCGTTTTATTGCCATTCCAATATGACTGGAATATTTATCAAATGAATGTGGAATTGGTTTTCTTAAACAGAGTTTTTGAAGAAGCATATATTAAACGATCTTTTGGCTAATATAACTTTAATAAGAGAAAGTCTTGAAATTAAGGAAGGCCTTATATTAGCCTAAAATGAGCACAAAAAATTTGGAATGCTTGAATGGATGAGTTCCTTTGAGAGAATAATTCAACTAAATGCCTATATTAGCATGCACCTTGTATCAAAGTTTAAATCAAAATATTTAATATGTGTGCTTATATGCAAATAATTTATTTTTAATGAATAATATGCTTTCGGAATTCAAGAAAGAATTGACAAAATTATCTAAATTGACGTACATCGGGCTCTTGTATGTTAGCATCTTTATTGAAGTGAAGCAGAGATAAAAGCATCATGATCTTTCAAGAAGTTTATGCCAAATAAGCCCTCATGAATTTTAAGAGGGATGATTTAAATCTTATCAGAATGCTCCTGGAATGCATAATTAAGCTGTCCAAGAATGATGAATAAGAAAATGAGGATCCAATTATGTACAAGCGTTGTTTGAAGTTATTGTTTGTGTATTCGTTTGTTGGATTTGTTGATAGTTATTGGAGTGGAGATTTAGATGATAGAAAAACACCACCGAGTTTGATCCTTCGTGGTAGATATTTTTTGCACTTGGATATCAAAGAAGAAACAGATTATTTCACTATTAACTTGTGAAACAAAGACTCCACTTAACATGGCCATCAAAATGGATTATTGCGTCTATATTGGTTTGTGCACTTCAGTATTAGCATGATATTTGGTTAAGAATGCATAAGAAATTAGTGTTATTTTATGTTTAAAGAAATATGTCTTTTTTTTGAAAAACTTGTATTTATTGAGGCTATATATGATGTATTTAATAATTGATATCATATTTTGTTTATTTTTGAAGTTGCCAAATTGTGACTTGTCAAGGTTAGCACTTAGCAACAGGATTTCAAACTACGTATCGATTTTAATGGCACCTTTCTTCAAGATTTTGATTCATCCACGCATTTTTTTAACAACAATAAGTATTTATCCCACTTAGTGGGGTCGGCAATTTTTGAAAGTTGAACAAATATCTAAAGTGAAGCTCAATATATATTTTCAGCATAACATATTATTATCTTAAATTCAGATCTTAGTTAAGTGTGAAATTTTTCTAAAAAAGCATCAGAAAGTCTTAATATGAACGCAGGAAGAAATACAAGGACTGTTCACTTGGATTATCTTTCTCTTTATTCATTTTTCTTGAGCTCTGCATGTCGTTATTCTAGCTTATGCTTATTTTTCGGTGTTATTGTCAATGATTTCTTTTATAACCACTTTTCCTTGATGTTGTTATCATATTCATTTTAACTCTTTTTTTCATTGTAAACTTCTTATTTTCAACCATATATAACTAAATCAACTAAGTTTATTTTTTACAATATTAATTGTACATTGGTTGTTTCTTGCCTTTTCAGAAACATTTATTGAACCATTTCAATAGCTATTATCATAAGATAGCTCATCTATATTGTTATTTTATTTCATCTTCTGATAGTCCACTAGAGTGATTGTGTGTTTTTTCACTATTGTTTGTTTTAATACTTCAAGAAGTTTAATTGTCAGTTATAAGCCTCTGGATAAAAATGTTGAGCATTTATGTTAGATTTCAATAATTAATTTTAATAATTTTTTCAATATTATTTTTAATTCTATTTCAATGTTTACTTAGTGCTGGAGCGATCCAAGAATCAAGGAATCATATTTAACTCTACTGGTTGTTATGAAAATTGACCTGTAAGCTTGGGTAAAATGGCCTAATTGTGATTAATATTGGGTATGAAAGCAGAGTAAAATTTGTGATTTGAAAAGCTATACCTTTTTGGCAATACGATATGATCTTGCAATAGTGAATATGTATTTTAAAAAGTGAGAAAATATCTTATTTCCAAAAGTGAAGCTGCATCATATATGATTTTTTTTTTTTTTTTTTGAAAGATAGGATTTTCTTTTTGAAAATTAAAAGGTGATTCTAATAAAAAGTTTGTCCACACTGCATAGAATAATCATTTTGAATGTAAATTCTTAAAGTTTAGGAGTAGGCAAAAGAAAACTAATTTTCTATTATAAAATAGTAAAACTTAATTGATGAAAAATTTTAATCTTTCATTGGTAAGATATTAAAAGTGTTCTTAGAACTTTAAAATTTAGATAAATTTGATGTGTACTAAAAATTTAGTTTCATTTAGATGAAAAATACTTTAGTCAGCTTTAAAAATATTCGATACATCAGCAAGAAAATTTCGCGTGGGAAGTTAAATAAAGCTTTTATGCTAAGTTATTTTCTTTAAAAAAAGCAAAAATAAGTATTATTAAGGTTTATGATAATTTTAAGGACAAAAAGTAAGTAGTAAGCGAAGTGAAAACTACACCTCTTTGTTGTTTATAGTTGGCTAGGTTATGTGGATGAAGAAAATGAGAAATTTAAGCTGAGGCAAGAGAGAGGAGATCTGGAGTGTTTTATCCAATTTGATTTATTAAGTTGAAGATAATATGATCTTATCTAAAGGTGAAGACAAAAAAAAAAAGATTAATGGTATATAGATAAATTAATCTCTTAAAACATGCATGAAAAAGGTACAAGAGAAAACTAAAAGATTGCAAATTATATTATACATGAATAATGGTGGCTTGATCTATTTTTGAAGAGATGCATGAAGATATAACTTTACTTATATATAAGATTCTGTTGAGATTAGATTTGGATAAGTATGATATGTTTAACAGATCTTAATAAAATCCTTAACCTTAGGATGTGACCAATTAATTGAAGATATATTGTAGTATTAATATTTAAAATATGATGTTGATGTTAAGGATTGTGTTTATTATTTAGGAATTAGGTTTATGGGATTACAATAAATTTACTAGATAGTGTAATGGATGGAGAATCAATCTGGTTTTATTCCAAAAATTTTGATTATTTAGGGTATTATAATCTAATGAAAACATGAAGCTGTAAAGAAAAGATCATTATATGATTTTGTTGATTTTGTAAGGGCATATGATGCGATATCATGTGAATTAATTTGGTGAGCATCAAGAAAAAATGATGTGCTAAAGGCATATTGAAGTTTTAAAACATGTAAAATGGAATTTTGATTTCCAACTAAATAAGACTTAACTGTTTGAGGTTTACAGCTTGGATCAACAATGCACATAAACTTTTTATATGTTTTAAAAACTAACAAAAAATACTTAAGGTAATGTATATTAGTATGTACTATTTTCTAATGACATTTTTTTGATAAGTGGGATATCTTAAAATGTAAGTGAAAAGTTCTTACAAAAGAGAATTTTTAGAAGAAAACTATCTTAGCATTTTTACGACAGAGCCAAGTACATGGTATGAAATTTTAATGTTGTTAAACTCATAATTATTACTCTATATTATTAGATGATCAATTTACACACTCAAGTTTGATTTACTTAAATGCTTTGATTTTATTATATAAATAAGATATTGATGAGAATATAGTTTTTAGATTTAAGGGTGTGTGATTAAATTGGAGATGTTAGGGAGTGCAACATGTTAAAAGAACAAAATGAAAATATTATTGTATAAAGATAATTTGATTATCTTTTTTGTATTGATGTGAGTGTTTGTTACAAAAAAAATTTACTAATAGTCATGTGGAGTGAGGAAGAAATGAGTATACTTAGATGAATTTATTATAAAATTAAAAATGATAGAAAATGAGTTTTAATTATATCAGACAGTTGCTGAAAGTAACACTTATGGAAAAGACAAGGTAGCGAAAGTTATGGAAGTTTGAACATGTGCAGTAGCAAGCAAAAGCTACAGAATGATGTGGGCAAATAGAATTAATTTGGAAGGACTAAAAAGTATTAAAGGTAATATAACTTGATGTTAAGAAAAGATTAGTCCATAACTGACTCAAAATCTCATATAACATTCAGCAAGAAAAATGTAAAGTAGAATTACAAATGTGTAAAAAGATTTGTACAAGTAAAGTTCACATACTGTTAAAAATTTAATAAGAATGAATGGAGAATAAGGATTCATAAAACCAGCTCGAAAGAGTTTGAATAAACAACGATATTTGTATATTTCTTTCATAAAATTTTATAAAGCTTTTCAGGGGGATTTATGTTTAAGAAGAAAATGCTGGATGATAGAAGATTTCCCAAGATGCATCTCAATTTGCAGCGGCTTCTACAGGTACCTTCGAGCCTGGACTTCATTTGTAGTTTAACTCAATTATTTTTGGTAGTAACAATTGTATATGTAATCAAATAACCAACCAATAAAGTTCGTACTTAACAGCCCTGCTTTATATCTGTTTGAAGTATAAAATGCATGCTCAATTAAAAATTTTGCATCTTTCTCATATCATTATTTTTGGTACTATTGTGAGATGAGACTCATGCTTCCCCTCGTTTAAGAATATAAAATATGTTTTTCTTTTCCTAATTTTTCTTCAAAACATACTAGGACTCATCAATGTTCAAAAAGAAGAACAAAACAGGAGCAGTTTGCAGCAAACTTTATGACTTTGGCAGATTGCTGCTCATTTCAAACAGAGATTTTAGATTGAAAACTGAAAACTTAAATTTCGAAAGCCATTTTAAATTGTAATTATTCTCATAATAATTGTTTCTTAATAACCCAGGTAGTTTCTCATTGTGAGCAAGTGTTCCCACGTGTAAAAGAAAAATGCGCACTCAAAAGCTGGTTTGCAAGCGAAGATGTTGTCACTCTCGAAGAACTAATCAGCCGATTGAGGCGAATAAAAGAGAATTTAGGCTTTTTAGTAAATCGAGTGATGGCTATTCAGGCAGGTTTAGATAGCTGGCAATCGGAGCAGATTAACAAGAAGCTTTATTATCTTTCTTTCCTCTCTATGATCTTCCTTCCTTTATCTGTAGTTACAGGAGGCAAGTCTTTTCTCTTAACATAAAGACCTTTCTTGCAATTAAAAAATCCATTTTTTTCCTAATAATGCACATAAATTAATCTAATTTCAATAATGTTGCAGTGTTTGGAATGAATGTGGGAGGCCTTCCATGGACTGGGCAAAAGGGACCAGACATGGACAATGGATTCCTAAATGTTCTAATTATCTGTGCGGTGCTGTTACTGATTCTTCTAATTTTGTTCACCTTCCCTTCGCTCATCGGCCGGTTTAATGGCTGGAGAGGTCAATTGTTGAATAAAACCAGAAGTTTTGGCAGAAGATCCTCCTTCATTAGATCGGGTGCTAAATATCAACGCATTTGAAGGATTATATGGTTCATATTGATTCTACTTTGAAAAGGTGTTACAGTTCTTATTTTATTTTGTTATAAAACAATGAATTGTTCCTGTCAAGTGGCTTTCATTGGAAGGACAGGTTGTAGTAGGAGTTCGATGCCGTGTGTAATGATGCATCAAGACATGGTTGATGTTAAGATGAATTAATCATCCAATCCTAGTGACGGGGAAGTCTTATTAATTTTTTGTATATTGAAGTGGGCCTACAATTCTTAGTGAAGATTTAAATTCGTGAAAATGTACAAGATTTAAATTGGTTTATAGTGGACAAGTTCAGAAGCACATGAATTTTGGAGACATTTAGATATTACCAATATTGTGTTGTGCATATAATATATTGTATTGCTTTACGCTGTGTGGTGATTAGGATCTTAAAATTTTGGAGGAATTCAGACTTTTGAATCAATGTTGGTTTAGAAACTTTGTAGTTTCATTTAAATGGTTCAAAATATTCAAAGAATTTTCTTGAATTTTGATTTGTCTTTGAATCACACAAGAAATAGAGCATAAAAAAGAAAAAAAATTGAGACATAAGGAGGGAGAATGAATAATAAACCATCATGATTGAATGTCTTACCCATAAAATGATTCCTCTATTATAGAGTAGAGGACACAATATTGTTATATTTTATTTTTCCCCATCACAATAGAGTAATCCACACAATAGAGTAGAGGTCTTACATGAGCTGTTCAGAAAGAAAATATTTGATAAAAAAAGCCTTCGACCACTTGAGCGGAGACAAGTCATTTGCTAAGTAGCCACTTAAACAAAAGACCACCGCCAAGCTTGAAATGATTGTCCGATTAGTTTCTTGTTGAGTTTAATCAACCTACAAATTGGCCCAGAGAGCCGCCATCTCAACACGAGGAAGCCGCATTTCTCCTTTCATTCTTTCACGAGTCTATAGATCTCGAACGACGTCATTATCTGATCCTCTAGTGGCACACTCAAAAGAGTCCACCATCTCATTTACTCTTAGCTTTAGTGACCCAGAAGACTGCTACTGACCGCCATCCATTCCTTGCAAATTTTTGAAAAGATCGGCCAGCTGGTTGATCGCATCACCGACTAGTGATTGGTTCTCTCCGGTTGCATGATGAAGCGATTGTTGAAATTATAGGGTCAGCGGGAACATTGGCCGACCATATCATGGGAATGTTGCCTTTCTGCACTTCCGACAGAGGAGCATCAAAAGTAGCCGCTATTCTAAGTTGTTCGAGAGCTATCTGAAGCACTTCGTCATCTAAAGGGTCTGGGTTCTCACGTCATAAATTGAGGCGTTTGAAATCTGATATCGGAATGAGAAGGGAAGAATACTAAACCTATTCATAAAGATCATATAAACACGAAAAACTAAGAAGTAATTATTATGTTTTGATAAGATTTAGTTAATCATTTTCTTCTCCCTGTATAGTTAGAAAGGAGCAATAAAATTAGGAAAGTAATATGTATATTGGAAAATGTCAACACGAATCCTAAAGAGATCAAGCGGTTTGAGAGGACTCCACTGTTTCCAATCAGAATTTCATGCAAAGGATTATCAAACGATCAATTAGCTTAGCTCGCTTGCCCATACCACCGGTAATTCTCTCGAACTTAAAATGTCGGTTGAATCAGCTGACCGCCAAAATCAATCAGGAAAGAGAAAACCAACAAATAAAAGTATATCAGTTTATTCATATATTAATTCTAATCGACACGACCATTCATGAAAGTGACGCCCCATTTAGTTATTTATATTAGAAAGGTGGTTATATTAGCTACCCAGTGTTAGAAAAAAGACGAGAAATACTCTCTAACCCTTGAGAAAAAGGGGGATAATAGTGTAATTATAAACTCAAACGACCTATAATTATAAATAGGGGTTGCTTTATGAATAAAAATTACACGCTCTTCCTGAATTTTCATTTGTTCTGTGTCATCTTTCTTCTTTTCGCTTTCTTCTCTTCTTTCGTACTCTAAACTCTCAGTGCTTGCCTTCTACGATAATTTAGAATCCAACAATATCATAATCGAATCCAGGCGCGGCTTTCTCCATGTCATGCAAGCCAATTTAATTTAAACACGGAATTCCAATATAAGCTTGGATCATTATATATGTTGCTTGAAGCTAGAAAATTTGAACTTAAAAAATTGATAAATTCAACGTTCAATTGATTATATTTAAATATAAACATAAATTTCAAAGCCTACGGATTTCTTAAAATTCTTTCAAAAATGATTATTCCATTCTTACTAAAAATGAGCAAAGGTAAATCATCTTTTTTAAAACATATTTTATACTTCCTTGCAAAACACACGAGCACTAAACTTATTAGAATGGTTCCCCTTCCCTCCTGTTGCTCCGAATAACTGCTTTAATTAAAGGGGATCTACGTTCATATCAAAATAAAATACGAAAACAAAGTAGTTATCTTTATCACTCACATATGATAACAAACATAGAAGATAATTAAGCACATAGTTAAAACACAACAATTTAAATACACACTAAAACATTATTAAAGACCTCATCAGACACCAAACAACTAAAACAAATCCTCGTAAGCTTAAGCCTGAGTTGGGGGTGAAAGCTGTGAAGGTGGGCTTGGAGGAAATCCCATCGGTGGAACTGGAAATGGAGGAAGGAATGGTGGAAGTGGAATCCGAGGAAATGGAGGAATGGGAAATGAGGGAAAAGGCAATGGAAACGAAAATGGCGGAAATGTAAAACCAGGTGGCATAATCTGCTTTGTTTCTGCTTCTTTCTTCAACTGTCGTGCTACACTAATCATCAGAAAACTGCTCGTTCCCACTAGTACGAAGATGACTGTGAAGAGAGATGATAGCTTCGTTTTCGTCATTGTTGAAGCTTCCGGGTTTCTTCTTTGTATTGCAATGGTTGAGGAAACTAGAGATGGGAGAGGCTTTTATTTATAGGCATAAAGAAGTTGAGAGTTTTTGACTGTGTTCAATGTATAAGAAGAGTGATAGCAGTAGAGTGTGAGATAAGGAATTTATGATACGTAACGGCTGCCAACTTTAACTCTTGAAATACTAAAGGTTTTTTCATTGGAAAGGAAAATTAAGGCTGCTTCAGAAGAATGAGTATAAATCATAATATGGAATGGTAATTTAAAAATGGAATGCACTGGAAACAAAAAATGACGTGATCATTTACTCCATGCTTAAATCAGTTTTTTCGACCGTTTTAATGGAAGTTGAATATGCACTTACACAAATTAAATAATATGCAGAAATATGTTGCACATAAATGGATAGCTAATAATAGCACATAATATTAAAATTGTATAATTTTGCACAAAGAAATCGCGCACAAATAGAAAAATAATAATAGCTCATAAGAAAAAAAAAATCTTAGCTAAAAAATCAAGAGGGGAAAAAAATCTATCCCAAATTAAATAATATACTATTTTATTTTTTTCCTTTGATAGGAGAAGATTGGATTGTAGAGTAAAACACTCAGCACTAACTGGGTCTCCTGCAATTGTGGTTAATTAACAACACCCAACACTAACAAATAACAGTTGGCTAATGGCCCAGCGACAATGATGGTGACAATAAGTCAATGTTGACAATTACCATCAAATTTAGTGTCCAGCTAATCCAATGCTAAACAGTTTTAGCATCGTATTTGCATATGGCATATGGTCGATGTTAAATTCGGGATCCGTTATACACATATCGTTCAAATATCGGATGCAAATTGTTTGTTTCTAGTGTAGCGACCGTTAAGCTTTCCGTTGACTAGTTTTGAAGCTCTTGACACCATAACTTTTAATGGTAGACTTAAAGTCAAATTATTGCAAATGCAAATTTACATCTTATTCGAAGAGCGTCAGGAAAAAAAAAATTAAAGAAGTAGCGTCGGAATATTGACGCAAGTTCGATGCAAACATGTATAAAATAAAAAAAAATTAATAATGATCAGATTTTGCACAATACTCACACAACAAATATGAATAACATACTAATTTACTTATCCATCATCACAAATCAGAATCTATATTACAAACAGTACCAACTATGAAAAAAATAAAATGTAACTAATATTAATCTAAATTTATGCAAGTTCACATTTGAACACAAAATACATGTTCACATGCTTAAAAAAATACATAAACCCATACGACGGGGGAACATGATCGAACTCCTAATCATCCTCCTTGTCCTTCTCGTCCTCCTCATCCTCATCCACAAAACACATAGGTCGCTTGCCACGACGATTTGCAATACTCTTTTTCGGGCATTCTAGAGAACCATCAACTCTCTATCGACCTTTATGCATTTAATGGCACTCTTCATTCATGGCACTCTTCATTCATAGCATTGACCCCCCCTGACAAGCCCTCGTGATCTAATTATAACGAGTTGGGCCACGCATAGAAGCACGGGAGAGTTCGGCTTCAAACTATTTACCCTTCAGGCCCAAGCCATAGACCATCCCCTATGTCTTCCCAACAACCTGCATCCATAGCTCAAATTAGACTGTGTAGTGGTAGATTGGCTACCAATGTTGCTGGCGGATGTCAGGGTCTAGCTCTCCAACTCCCTCTCTCTCCCGGAGCTGCTTATACTCCTATAAAATTAAAAATAATGATTAATTTTTATTTTTAACATTTATAGCAAACAAATGTAGAAAATCAATTTCTTACATTGACTCGCCAAGATAGATCAAAGACCAACTGTTGCATCCCTTGACACCGATGTATTCAAACATGCAACTTTGTAGAGGTGGGTGGTCGGCTAAGGTCTTTAGCATTTATACATTAAAAAGTAGTATTTATCACATAAGTACATCAATCGTTAAATTTTATAATATTTAGATAATCTTATTAGTCTCTAATAGTGCTTTGTGTGGGGGATCGAGCCTCCAATGTTGAGTGTGGTGCTCTGGCTCTCTCACTTGCCTTATTTTACTGGTTTGGCTCCCTCTTCCTCTAATAATCCAGAAAGGCTAAAGCTCTAGTCAACTTGGCCCAACCCTCCTCCCCCTACCTAGATGGGATACTCCCCTTTCTTGTGGACGGTGGTGAACATGTCACTTAGCCGATGCCTGCCATGAACCTCAAATATGTTGTGAATCTATTGGTGATCCTCCAGTAGGTAGAAGTAGCTGTAAATTAAAAATTATGCAATATTGATTTGAATAACCAACTAACTTAATACAAGTACTCTAATTCAAATTAAGCGACTGGAACTCGTGACCCAAGTTGTAATCGAGATCTGCTTCCATGAGAGATACACATGATTGTATCTACTCTAAATGATCTTCGTGATGCAAGTTAC